GTGTATGTTTATATTATATGAATTTATCAAGTATTGCATTACTATTTTCTCTATTTAAAATTGCACCGCCTACGTATTTCTCGGTTCGCCCAATGGTTGACTGGTAGAGAACACCGTCCGGTGTAAAGTCCGCCAAATGTACATAGAATTTTACTGTACGTTTAAAGTTTAAATAAATAATGGGCTTGTCTAAAACAATATTTACAAGCGAGTAAACAGTATAAATCCTTATTTAGCTTCATTTAAGTAAGCCAGAACAAATAACTTTAATTGTCGAACAAAGACATAGTTCAAGTTAACTCGGCAACCGAGCTGCTTCAAGTTTTTCGAAGTTCGACAAACTTTAGCGTAGTGACATACACTGGGGCTGAGTTATTGCAGTACTATTAATAAACCTTGTTATGCCACTTTCAACTTTATAACTAAACTTTAAAGTTGGATATTGTTGTAGTTGGTAGAGGCGCAATGCAGGTGGTGGTGGTACATTTTAATGGTGTACCTACAGTAATTTATAAGAGTACAACTTGAAATTATTGTACGATATGCAACGCCGTTCATATTGCTCTTGTTATTTATAGTTGCAGGGTTCTGTGTAACTAATAGTTACGTGCATGCAGATGTGTGTAGGTGGCCAAGATAAGCCTCCCCGTAGACTGGAGAAACCCAGGAGGATTCCTCCAGTCTACGGGGAGGCCTATGTTCAGCGGTGAACAGATAGCCACTGCTGTGATGGTGATGAATACTTATTAATAAAAATTAAATATTGTCCGTTGCATTGATCGATCATTCTTTTTTTTTTTTTAATATTAACAATAATATAACGAAAATATTTATACAAAGAAAAATTTAATTAAATGCTTATTAATTCGAAAAAATAGGTTTTATATATTTATATATACACCAGAAAAAAATGAAAAGAAAAAAAGAGCAGAAAAAGAAAGGAAAATATCTATGTGGCACATACCGGTATATATAAACATTTTTATGAATATTTATAGTCGATTGCTTGGGTACCTCTTTCCCATTCGTGTTTCAACCGTGAAGCAGTTGTGTTTGCATGGCTGTGTTTCGGTTTGATGGGTGGGATATGGCGGGAATTTACTGGGTACAGAGGAATAACACCTGAGTCCTCAAGAATGGTAACGCATGGGGGCTATCATGGGCGAAACAGTATACTGTTACTTACTGTTATGTCCATGGTACTGCTCATGTCTATCGGTCGTCAGCTTGTTTGCCATTCTAAGTTGCATAAAAAAAAAATTATCCTGGCTCAGCCAGTAACAATGCTCAACCAAAACTACTAAGTCTAGAAAGCTGAAATTTAGTACATAAGTTTATTTTATAAAGTAAGCCCTTCCTTTCCCATGGGTGTCATAAGAAGCTACTAAGGGGAGATAATGGTCAAGGTATGACCAGCAGCGTCCCTCTTAAAACATCGTCAAAGCCTAACTGCAGTTACTAACCCGACTGCCAAGCGTGGCAACTACTGACAAATCTCCCTTCTGGTGGGGCCTATGTTAAACAGTGGACAGTTAATATGAATATGAAGGAAAAAATTATCCACCGAAAGAGGACTTTTGAAAATTTCAACTCAAAGGCGAAATACGACACTACGCGTGCAGAACCGCGGGCAACAACTAGTTGTTCATAAAATGAAATAAAAAAGAAAATACAAATACGAACATACGATGCGACATAAATGACGATTGGAATGAAACAATTCAATAATTATTTTTTTATTTTATTCCTTATGTTTTATTAGACTTTATTATTAAATTTATTGTACATGTTCCTTAAATATTAATTATATGAAATGATAAAACTCCTTGTCTAATTTCAAATAAAGCATACGAATATAACGTAATGTTTACGATACAAACAAATAAATGAGAGTAAATCCTTTCGATAAAAAAAAATGGCAAAATTGATTCAAAATTTGTCAAAAATATTATATGCATAAAATGTATTGAAAGAAAAAAAAACTATAATAATTACTAGCTCTCGCCCGCTATTTCGTACATACTTTTTTTTACAGACTTCGTCGTACAGACTTCGTATGTGCATACATAAATATGTACCTACTTACTTATTATAATACATATATTATATAATAAATATTAAAATAAATAAATATACTACCTACTTTAGAAATTTAGTTTATTGACTTTAAGATCCCACAGTTAAATTTAAAAAGTAAAAAGTTAAGATTGCGAATCAAGGGAAATGACAATTCAACTAGAAAGAGGTAATAAATTTATTCTTTATCTTTATTAAAATGTTTTCTATGTGTGCTATTAAAGTATAATCAAATACATTCGTATTTGAAGAAAATTTCGTTAGAAAATATGACAAAAAAAAGTAAACAAACTTAACCTTAAACCATTATTTATCTCCAAATTATTATTTTAGTAATTGTAAAAAAAATCATTTACACACCTATGTAATGGTAAATATTGCTGGACAATTGTAATGTATATTAAGAATCTGCTATTTAGTAAATAAATTTCATTTTTCATTCATTCATTGACTCAATCAAGTCAATAAACTAAGAGATCGAATACCAACCGTCAGCTAAAATGACGCTGACGTGCGCCGGATGACATATACCGGATTATCTATGTTGCTTGGTCTGTTCCGCTGAGTCAACCCAAACACTGTTACGGTACGGAACAAATGTCTTTTCAATTGTTTTCTGATGGCTTTGGCTCTTTGTTTCGTTCCAAATAAAACATATTTGTCATTCACAAACGTATACATTTACATAGATTTTTGAACAATGGATTTAAATGATCAAATTTGTTCATACGAAGAAAAGTTGCGCTTACACACAGAAGGTTTCGTGCATTTATAATTAATTATTAAATTCAATTTTCACTTGATCCCAATACGTGATTTTGATATCTCAAGTTTTAAGATGGACGCTGCTGCCCATCCCTCGCCCTCCCTTATTCGCCTCTTACGACACCCACGGGAAAGGAAGGGGTGGCCTATTTTTTGCCGGGACCACACGGCAAGGAATAATAAAGTGTGCCTCTTAATACTCTTCAAGTCCTTACAATCAAGCCTTATCTCTTTGAACATAGCCCCGTACCCGCACGTGGCTCCGTCACCTAGGAATTCAAGCAGTTCCAGAGTTCAAAATTTATAACTCTGGCAATACTGGAACCGCTTGTAAAACTGCTGACGACACTTGTCATTACGCCCAACACCTGATCACGTCAAAAATCTAGGTCTGCATACTGTATCATATTCTATTAATCCATTAATCGTCCTAAACTTGAAGTAAAATAAATAGTGAAGTGTAAAAATCGCCGTGTATGCCCTGGTATAGAATGGGTCACCCCTTCCTTTCCCGTGGCTGTCGCAAGAGATGATTAAGGGAGTAAGGGAGCCATAATACAATATAAATTCAAAGTATCATTTGGAGAGGATGGATGAAAGAAGAATTACGAAAGAGATTTATCGAGCAAGAATGAATGGAGATGTCGGTAGGGGTCGCCCTAGACGGACGTATGTTGACCAAATAGGCGACGTGCTGAAGAAGGGTCAAATTAAAAGTACCTGTAACAGGCGAGTGTGTATGAATGTGGAAGAAGCGAAAGAGGTTTGTTTGAATCGAAGCATTTGGCGTTCCATTGTTTCTGCCTACCCTTATAGGAGACAGGCGTGACAGATATGTTTGTATGTATGTAAATTAAAAGTACCCGTAACCAACGAGCATGTATGAATAAATTGATGAATGTGGAGGAAGCAAAAGAGGTCTGTTTGAATCAGAGAATTTGGCGTTTAATTATTTCTGCTTACCCCAATGAGACGCAAACGTGTCCGATATAAATGTGTGTATTTATTTAAACTATTTAATTGTACCTTACAGTAGTTGCATTCAAAATCAACATAGAACGATAAACCACTGTGCAAACGGACGTCCAACTGTGATCAAACTTGCCAAGTTAGCACACGATGTGCAAACTTAAACAGTATTTAACTTTGTTGACGCAAACAACACTGGGGTGGCAACGGTTAATTCAAGTTTACCTATCACCTAGTAGTATACACGTCTGATTAAAGTCTCTCTCTCTCTCTTCCTTAATCGATTTCAAAAGAATGAAGTTTTTAATTTGTCGTAGTTTTTTTGCGCGAAACATAAAACGCCTTCTTTCGAAATAAAATTTAGTATAAATTTCATTAAAATTTTAAATTTAATAATGAGATGAGTTGTGAATGTAAGTAACACAGATCGCTATCAGTAACGCAAGCGGAGTTACCACTTCATTTTAACACCTCCAAATTAATACCTATGACTATTACTATCGCTCTTAGCGATAAGGTCGCCCATTGTTTTCTCATTTTTATTCTCCGTTTTGTGATTATTTCTTGTAATTGTTTATATTTATAATAGGTTTACTATTGTAATCTTATGGAGGGAACAATAAAGAGCATCTATCTATCTATCTACTCCATGAAGGATTACAGTCGTATATATATATATATATATATATATATATATATATATATATATATATATATATATATATATATATATATTCTTTATTGCACTTGTAAATTACATACTCTTCCAGTCAACCCAATACAATGAGAAAGTATGTTGTTAGCGGGCAGCTGAAGTGCTACAACTATTAATATATTTAGCATACAAAAACAAATATACAGTTAAATAAAATATTAAATGATATAATGAAATATTACATAGATACATATACTATACTAGCAACCCGCCCCGGCTTCGCACGGGTGTACATCGCATCACGTTAGAAATCTCTAAAATTATCAGTGTTTCTCTACTATATTATGCACGTATTATACATATAAACCTTCCTCTTGAATCACTCTATCTATTAAAAAAAAACCGCTTCGAAAGCCGTTGCATAATTTTAATGATTTAAGCATACATAGGGACGGACAGACAGCGAGAGCGACTTTGTTTTATACTATATAGTGATATAAATATATTCATTTATTTATGTCTATTTTAATTGCAGGACGATAACATCAGCGCAGAAGCGAATGTCACACACAGATTCACAGTAAGTCTATTTTCTATATTATTATTATATTTCAGCCGTTAACTGTCCACTGTTGAACTTATAAACCTTCCCCATAAAGAGGATTTTTGCCAGAAGTAGAATTAACTTCCAGCAGCAGCATTTCCGAACAGATACGACAACATAACCTTCAAGAAAAGATCATATTTCTTTTTAAAAGGCCGGCAGCACACCTGCGATGTCGTTGGTGTTGTAGGTGATCATGGGCGGCAGTAGTCACTTACCATCAGGTGAGCCGCATGCTCGTTGGCCCCCTGTGTTGTAAAAAAAAGTTTTAATCCTTGACAGGCGGGTTCGCAACCGCTTTTAGACTTTCACAGATGTTTTAAGAGGGACGCTACTGCCCATCCCTCGTTCTTTCTCTATACAGATTAGTTATAAGAATTTGATACTTTCCGACTTGAAATGACAAATAAGCTGATCACCGCTTTGATGTAAAGTGCTAATTTTTTTTATACAACTTAGAATGGTAAACAAGCTGACGGCCCACCTGATTGAAAGTGGTAACCGTCGTCTATAGACATGAGCAGTACCATGGACATAACAGAGTATACTGTTTCGCCCATGATACCCCCCATACGTTGCCATTCCTGAGGACTCAGATGTTATTCCTCTGTACCCTATAAATTCACGCCATATCCCACCCTTCAAACCGAATCACAGCCATGCAAACACAACTGCTTCACGGTTGAAACACGAATGAGACAGAGGTACCCAAGCAATCGAGTTTTGTACAAAGTCTCTGTAGTATATTGGTATATATCAAAGCACCAAAGGTATCACAGAATACACTGTGATGCCCATTCATTTTTATAATCAAAAGACTGTCTCCCTTTTTAAGACACTTAAAAATTCAGACGCTGGAATCTGGGGTCTACTGTGCAATGAAATTCCGAGCTTTCAGACTCAACTTCGTGTTTTTGTCCGTACCGAAATCGGCCCAGTAAATGGAGCTTAACATTTCATTAATCAAAAATCTTACCATAAAATACTAAAGGAATGATATTTTAACATTTTTTAATATTTTCAACGGTATATACAATATTATGTAATTTTAACATCAAATTTGTATTTCGTTCGGGTACGCAATTTCGGAAAACATTTCATGGTAAGCCCTCTAAGCATGGGTAGCAATAAACAAATAATTACATTTGTTCAGTTAACAGAGTCAGAAGCGTCATGGACGGCGTCGCTTCTATGTCTGGGGGCGCTGTTTGGCGCGGTGCCAACTGGACTGATATCGGAGAGTTTTGGCAGGAAGAAGACATTGCTGTACCTCGCGTTACCATTGGTGGTGTCTTGGACTCTTATTGCATCGACGTAAGTACTTATAATTAATTTCTTTAGGTCCACAGGCAACTAGAAGAATAAATTACATTTGTAAGAACGAAAGAAACTCAAAATTGAGACTTGTTCCGTTCTTTAGTGAGAAATCTGCTTCATTATCAATTGTTTACATTATAAATGTAAAATCGATCTCTTTTGTTTATTTTTTTATACCACTGAGGTAACAAACAAGTATACGGCCCACCTGATGATAAACGGTTACCATAACCTATGAACGCCTGCAATACCGGGGGTATTACACGCCTGTTGCCTGCAGAAACCTTTTTACCACTCTTTTAAAAACCCCGTGCTGTAATCTCTTGGGAAACCCTAAGCAGGTTTTTTTACCTTTTAGCACCTTGATTCAGACAGATGATTCTTGATCAACCAGACATTATGTTTAATATACACATGATGTTTTACAAGGACAAAATATTTGTTAAGTGCTGAAATCTTCAGCAAATGGTATTAAGGTCATTTTGATATAAACAAGCTTGATTTTTAAACTTTATTTGAGACATATTATAAAAATACAATTGTATATGAATGAACCATTGCCTCGATCCAAATCAAATTTTAAAAAATAATCCTTTGAGACGTAAAAGCAAAAGTGAGTAAGTGGTGGCGTCTATCGCTTCATAGTGTACGCGACGGTATTAATTGTGTCAATTTTTATGTAAAATTTACTGACTATAATCCTGACTTATATACAGTATTTTATTATATTAATACTCATATAATTTATTGCTACGTGTCAGTGCAATTCAAAGATAGTCGGACTCGCAATAAATTTAATTTTTATCTTTAAAACTCACGTCAAATACAATTTGTCATTCCAACAAAATTAATAAAAGTAAGCTTTAAATACATATTAGGTGATATTCGTAGTAAAAATATCTTCAATATTCAATTTCAATTAGTCTCAACAATTTTATTTATTTATTTTTTTATACAACTTAGAATGGCAAACAAGCTGACGGCCCACCTGATGGAAAGTGGTAACCGTCGCCTTTAGACATGAGCAGTACCATGAACATAACAGAGTATACTGTTTCGCCCATGATACACCCTATGCGTTGCCATTCCTGAGGACTAAGTTATTATGCCTCTGTATCCTGTAAATTCACTGCCATATCTCATTCTTCAAACCAAAACAACCTGTGCAAACACAACTGCTTTACGATTGAAACACGAATGGAATAGAGACACTCAAGCAAACGACTTTTGTACAGTCTCCCTTTGGTAATACAGTACACAATAATAAGTCGTTATGTTATTTGCAGGCCCAATGCGTACGGTCTTTACGTCGGTCGGTTTGTTGGGGGCGTCGCTGTTGGTGCTTTCAGTGTCGGCATCCCGCCTTATGTGGAAGACATTGCTGAGAAGCAACTTTTACCTACTCTGGCTAATTTTTACCACGTCCATTTGACCTGTGGAATCCTCTTTGGATATATCGTTGGTAAGTTATGATCGATACTTAAATTATCTTCCTACCATCATTATCTTCACGGTCATACTTTTCCTCAGCATTATTATTATCATTATTAATATTTACACAAATTCACATCTCCCCTCTTAAGGAGAGGAGATGGCAAAATAACCCCCGGCAGAAGCACAGTCGGCCGGGGTTCAGGGCCCCAGGGAGAGAAACCGGCGTACAATGCGGGCAGAATCTAAGAGCACCGCTTTCTGCATCTTTCCCGGGAGTGAGCTGCCTCAGAATCCCAACCGTCTGAGATGTTCTTCTATTATCATCATTATTTATACCATTGTTACCATTATTCGAATCATCAGTAGTCCACTGCTGAATATAAACCTTCCCTATATACTGACATAAGGAACGGTTATTCACTGACTCCCTACAAGAAATTACGTTTAATGATTTAAAATTAGTAAATTGTGGATACGAAGTCTTAGATCTTAATTTTCAAAATAGCAACACCTCACACTGACTTTACAAAATACAACATTCTTTGTCTTGTAATTTATCATATACAAGTCTATCTACCAATGGATTTGTCTAACATTTATCTCAGTTAAACCATCTGACGAAATACCAATAGGCCATATTCTACTCTCAACGACAAGAATCCGTATCTAATAGAGAACGTTGGTTTTTAATAAACAAATCATTACCAGCAGTTATTTAATGAACAGGCAAGAATACTCCTTCTATTTCTTAAGCAGAAACACGATAATTACTACGCCAACAGTCTGCTCTAGCAGCCTGCGTTTTATTCTTTACGTGAAAATTTTTAATTAAGGAGTATAAAATTTATTGCAAGTCTCTCTGATTTTAAATTTAAATTTACAACATTGAGCAAGGAAGACTTGTAGATGCATTTATATTTATGGAATAAAAGAAGTTTTTTTTTCTGTTAATTAATTAATCTATTTAGTTATCAAAATAATTAATGTACCGTGAAGTGATAGCTTAGCTGATGAGAAAACTGGTTCCGGCATAGTGTGGATTTTTTTTATGCAACTTAGAATGGCAAACAAGCTGACGGTCCACCTGATGGAAAGTGGTAACCGTCGCCTATAGACATGAGCAGTATCGTGAACATAACAGAGTATACTTTTTCGCCCATTGTAATCCCATGCATTGCTATTAATGAGGACTCAGGTGTTATTCCTCTGTACCCTATAAATTCACGCCATATTCAAACCCACCCTTCAAACCGAAACACAGCCATACAAACACAACTCCTTCACGGTAGAAACACGAATAGAGCAGAGGCACCCAAGCAAGCGACTTTTGTACAAAGTCTTCCTCTGGTAAGATCCGGGCAAGCTTGGTATGATATTTGTAATTTAATGATGATTTATTTGTTTCAGGTATGATATTAAATCCATCGTGGCTGTCCTTCCTCTGTGCAAGCGTCCCCGTAGGATTTTTCGTTGCGTTCATTTTCCTCCCGGAATCACCGGTTTATCTGATGTCCCAAGGAAAATATAACGAAGCCAAAGCTGCTCTGAGATATTACAGAGGCATCGACAATGATGTAGAATCGGAATTCAAGGCTCTCAAGGAAAATTTGAGGAACATTGCGAAAGTCACTTTCAAAGAATTGTTTAGTACAAAAGCAACAGTTAAAGCCCTGATTGTGTCTTTTAGTCTAATGATATTCCAACAGATGAGCGGCATCTATCCCGTTCTATTCTATGCTAGAAAAATCTTTAAAACTTTCTCCATCACTATGAATTTGCCGAGCGCTGCAATTATTTTAGGATTTTGCTTGGTGTCCTCCACTTATTTCTCAACTATGCTTTTAAAACAAATCAAAAGACGAATTTTACTAGTTCTCTCGTTTACTATGATGTCAATCAGTTTAGGATTACTTGCAACTTACTACCATTTGAGAGCATCAAATATATGGGAGAATAATCCATGGGTGCCATTGTTTTGTCTGTGTTTGTTTGTGAGCGTTTACGCGACTGGTGTAGGACCGATACCATGGCTGATGTTGAGGGAGATATTTCCTAAGAATGTGACAAGGCGGGCCACAGCTATAACAGCCGGTGTTCACTGGTTCCTCGCCTTTGGAGCGACGAAGCTTTACCAAAATCTGGTGGACCAAGTCAAACCAGGTTGGACGTTGTGGTACTTTGCAATAATCTGTATGTTTGGAGCTATATTTGTTTACATCTTCGTGCCAGAAACGAAAGGCAAGAGCGTAGAGGAGATCCACAGAGAACTCGACGGCCAGAAAAGTCATGTACACATCATTGAATTAAAAAGTGTTTCCACCACTTGATTGTACGGATGCAAATGTGAAAGATTCGAGTCAAAATTTTGAGATCAGTATTTTATCTGCATTCAGCGACTGTGAAACATTACTTCAAATTGGACTAGTTTAAAAAACAGAGGCGTACCCATAGGTATAAACAAACCTTACATACACATTCCCAAAGTGACACTTATAAAGTGTTTTCGATTAAAAATTAAAAGAAATAAGTAGTTTTCGTGGAACGGAACAAAAGTAAATTATCGTAAATATCAAGCTTTGTGTCTAGGCGTTTCATATTTTAAAAAAAGTTGCAGCGTATAGAAAAATAATTTCGACATTTTTGTCTATGAAAAATGAGTATTCGAAAATTAAATTTATTTCAAGAAAAATTATTGTATATGCCATTTTTTCTCCAACTCTTTGTTTCTATATACCAATGGGTATACCTATTTAGTGTTAGAATTACAGAAATTTTGATTCTAATCGTTGTTAATCTAGTTGTTGTAATATGTTATTTAGATTTAATTAATTAAGACATTGAAAAGGCTAATCATATTTATCAACATTTTAATAAAGAAATTATTATACTTTTAATATATTATGTACTTAGATATTTATTTTTATACATAAAATTGGTCAAGTTTACTAAAAAAAACACTTAAAAATAAATAAAAAATACAAAACATTGAAAATTATTCTCATTGCTTTAACTTATTAAACACCATTATTCGTACTTCATCATCAGCCACGTGGTCCTGGTATAGAACAGGCCACCACTTCCTTTCTCATGAGTGCCGTAAGAGGCAACTAAGGGGGCTTATGGTGGAGAGATAGGCAACAGAATCCCTCTTCTTTGGGGGGAAAGTGATTATTAGCAATGTAATTTGACAATGTAATTTGAGTGACAACATAACCTTCAAGAAAAGAGCATATTCCTTAAAAGGCCGGCAGCACACCTGCTTTGTATTATTAGCAGTGTAAAAATTGGTGAGAAATTTCAATTAATCAACTGGAAAGCGAGAACTATTGATAAACATTAACGGCACGGTAGGAATCACACAAATTATTTTTTATTATTTTTACTATGTAAATAAACGACTGGCCGTGATCTCGTTTGCTGATAAATGATAAGATCTGGGACGAAGTTCGCTTATCAAATAATGTTACATCTACGGCAGCGTTCATATAATTCCACTCCTGGTGTCTATGGTGTTTTTCACGTCAATAGTGTCGTAATTTTTGATCCTTCGAGCCGGACCGAAACATTAATCGGATTAAACGTGGGTGTAAATTTTTTCAAGAAATAAGAAGATTATTTGATATAACTACGCTCACCCTTGTAATCTATTTTATATAATTGTAATTTATTTAAATTGTCATTTATAGAAGAAAGTACAAATATATTTTGCTACGTAAACAAAAATAGCCATTTTAATCCCGCCAAAAATAATATAGACTAGCGACCTCGCTATTCTTGTTTTAAAACTGATTAAACACACCGATGAATGACAAGTTTTTGGTAGACACATTATTTTTGAAATAATGTGTCTACAATTTAAAAATGAATAGAAATGAAATTTATTTGCTAGAATGCGAAACCGTCAATCTGTAGAATTTGTTTCACAACAATTTGAATTTTACTTTTTTACAAGACGTAACCGCATTCTAATTTCAAATGTGTTCACAAAACATATCACCGTTATTAAAATAATAATAGTGATTACTTGTAATCACTTGTAAAATTAGAAAATAATAATGACTTGTCATTATTATTGCCTAATTTTGTCAAAAGTAGAGTCTCTTTTTTTCTGTTACAGTCTTAAATTATCACACATATGTACGTTAATATATAAAGTTACGTTAATATTTTACGTACATTAAACGTACAGGAAACGTACAGCAATATGGAAAGGCAAAAAGGCTGGAAGCAGGCTGTAAGCCATATTTAGGGAAATTACCAAAAGTAATGGGAAAAACAAGCATCGCGCCGCTATCTTGGGAGGATAAGCAGGGCCGTAACGTGAAGGCGCGGGTGTACGCTACGTGACTATAATAATAACGCGATTCCGTAGATGCCTATCGGTATGATTTTAAATCGGTATTGAGAAAGGAAAGGCTTTGATTTTTTCTTCATAATTCTTTAGTTTATTTTGTATTTTTTTTAAACAAATTAGAATGGCAAACAATCTGACGGCCCACCTGATGGAAAGTGGTAACCGTAGCCTATAAACGTAAGTAGTACTATGGACATAACAGAGTATATTGTTTCGCCCATGATACCCTCCATGCGTTGCCATTCATTGGGAACTCAGGTGTTATTCCTCTGTACCCTGTAAATTCACTGCCATATCCCACCCTTCAAACCGAAACACAGCCATGCAAGCAACTGCTTTACGATAAAAATATAATATATATAAGCTATATAACGTATATATACTGTGTATTCCGGTTTGACAAGTATCAACTAGTGTTGTAAGTACGTAACAAAGTACTCAAGAGTACAGTTTGAATTCGGTTAGTTAATTCAGTCGGGCATCAGATGGGATTCTAGGTGTTTAAGCAAGGGACACGAAATTAAAAACCCCTTAAGCTTTCGAACACCGTCTTCAATCGCTCTAAGTACTTAGCATTAAGTTTAATTATTTAATTAAAATACCAAGATTTCATAACACAAACGAACGGATCTCGTTTTGATAAAATTAAAAAATAAATATTTAATAATTTAAATTATTGACATAATTTCAACCACAAGAAAGTTTTACGTGAATCGTGGCATATTTTTTTTTATACAGCTATGGTGGCGAACAAGCATATGGCCAGTCTGATGGTAAAGGAAGTTTTGGTAACCCCATCATACACCGACGAGGCACCAGTTAAAGATGATAGGTGAGAATAAATGCACGTTAGTCGACCCACCATGAAGAATTCGACAAGAATTAAACATGATGGTTTCCAGAGGGAACCCTTTGTACAAAAGTCGATTGCTTTGGTACCTCTGTCCCATTCGTGTTTCAACCCTGAAGCAGCTGTATTTGCATGGCTGTGTTTCGGTTTGAAGAATGGGATATGGCGTGAATTTACAGGGTACAGAGGAATAACACCTGAGTCCTCAGGAATGGCAACGCATGGGGGGTATCATGGGCGAAACAGTATACTCTGTTTTGCTGATGGTACTGCTCATGTCTATAGGCGACGGTTACCACTTTCCATCAGGTGGACCGTCAGCTTGTTTGCCATTCTAAGTTGTATAAAAAAGAAAACATAAAAATATATAATAAAAATTAAAAAATTCAAGTGAAATATAGTAGCATAAAGTACAGATTAAAATATATACATAAAGGTACAAAAACTGGTCTTATCGCTAGAGCAATCTTTTACAGACAGCCTTTCAGATAGAAGTGGGTAAGGCAATAGTAAATTAACATTTTTTTATTATTATATGGAATAAAAATGGGCATAGATAGATAGAATAAATTACTTATTTGCATTACTTATAGCACACAAATAACAATACAAACATACAAATATTACAGATATACGCAGTAAAAAGAGATAAAAGAATGAAAAACAAAAAAGCAGAATATATAAAACAACAATTTCCTTATTTCATACATGTGCCATAGTAACACAAAATGGTCACAACTCAGTTTATTGTTTTGCCCTCAAAAGGGCAAAACACTGATATTCTATTGTGGCCAAGAGCCAGTCGCGAAATTCCTTAATAAAAATATTAAAAAAAAAAATTAAATAGCACATAACCAACTATTTAGCTTAGTCAATCAACATACATCGATTCGCGGACGAAGTCGCGTGTAAAAACTAGTTATCTACATTCTCACCGGGCGTGAACATTCATAAATCCATACAAATGTGCGTATTTGCATAGAACTCCAATTATTCGGATTCAGCCGTGACATTTTTCACGTTCAGGTAATCCAGTAGAGTTGAATTGGACCAATTGAATGCCGAGTTACGTGGAACTGTCCAGTGGACGAACTTCCGGCACAATTTCCAATACATTCATCCTGTCACTGTAGCTGTCTGTTATTCGTATAAAATTCCCTAATCGGATACACAGATTCTATTTATAGAAGTTTGATAAACTGGGAAGTTATAAATAAGTTCGACTGTACGTAACAATCCCTCCAATATATGTATGTTACATGTTATATACGTGTTTTTTTTAATGGATGATAATGGAATGGTAACCCCACCCGCGCTATCGGTATACACCGGCGGGACACCAGTGAAGGATGATAGGTGAGGATGAAGTAGGTCAGTTAGCTCATCGAGACGAATTCAACAAGAATTGTTCACGATGGTTTCCAGGGGAACCACGTGGAGGTCGACCTAATAAGGCATATTGCTAGCAATGGGGCTGTCAAACTCCATTGCTAACAATCCCTTTCCCCCCATATACGTGGATTGTTAGTGATGAAAATTAGCAACCCTATTAGATCGACTAAGATAGGGATGCACGGTTCCCCCTGGAAACCATCGTGATTGGTTTATAGTTAAATTTGTCACGATAGGCTAACTGACCTGATCCATTCTCACCTGTCATCCCTCATTGGGGCCCCTCCAGCGTATATAGATAGCGCTGGCGGGGTTACCATATATATATAATATACTAGCGGCCCGGTACGTGCTTCGTTACCTATAAAGTGAAATAATAAAAACTTATATTTTTAACATCAATATCGCTAACAATTTGCTTTAATCGAAGCACGTCCAAAATGAAATGACCGCATGAATGACATAACAATATGCTTGTACTGTCAACACTGAAAAAAGTTTCAATTTGACAGCACAATCCCCATCTTAAAAAAAGTTTGAATTTGACACAACAATCCCCCTTAACAAAATGATCCGCCATTTATTGAATTCATTTGTTACTAAAAATGTGATAAATGAAGAACCGCTCGACCGATTTTGTGCGAACTTCACATAAACCATCTACTAAATAGTCCGAACAAAGCCTGAACATTTGGTTTGGATAGGTGAGCCCGTTCTTGAGTTGTAAAATTACAACGAAAAGTGGCATTAATTTTATATATACAGATTACCTACACAAACATTTTTATTCAGAGGAATGTCGATAAAATATGTGTTATAAAAATAATACTTCAAGGAAAGAGCATAATATCAGAAAAATTAACATTTTACAACTATGTATTATATACATAAAACACAATGTCATGGAAATGCAATGTTACTCTACATTTTCAACTGCCTTAAAAAAAATTAGGAGACGAGGGAGAGAGAAAAAAGATAGGAAACTCGTCGTCTCGCATACATAAATGTCGTTTATAAACCTATATGTTTTTTTTTATTTGACTAAATATACTTTCAGATTCGGTTTCATAAAAATTTCATCAAAAATTACCTACTTTTAGTTTATAAATTAAAATAATTGGTTTGCTACGATTAAAGTATGTGTGTATGTGTTTTTATATTATTATATGTATTACATCTCCCATATCTAAAACTAACAAAATTTTTCATCGTGCCTCCTACCAAATTGTTTATAATTACTCCTCTCCATCCAAAGGTTGCCTGGAAGAGATCGCTCTTAGCCATAAGGTCGCCCATTGTTTTCTTACTGTGATTATTTCTCGTAATTGTTTATATTTATAATAAGTTTACTATTGTAATCTTTTGGAGGAAACAATAAAGAGTATCTATCTATCTATCT